CCGCCCTCTGCCCGCAGGAAGAAGAAGAAGGCGAAAGACAAGGCCCAGATCCTGGAGCAGATCGTGAGCAGCAAGAAGCAGGAGGAGGAGAAGAAGCGCGGCCTGGACAAGCGGACCCCGGCGCAGGTGGCCTACGAGAAGATGCAGGAGAAGCGGGTAGGGCTGCCCTGCCTGGGCCAGAGCTTGTCTGGGGGTTTCGGGGGGGGGATCTAAAACCCCCAATCGACCCCTCAGATGCGGCCCCTGAGGGGCTACGAGTGCTGGAAGTAACCGGCCTCTCTTGTGTCTTCCTCCAGCAAATGGAGAGGATCCTGAAGAAAGCGTCAAAAACCCATAAGCAGAGAGTGGAGGTAAGCTAAATTATCCCGATTTATTCAGGCCGGTGTGTATTTATCAGCACGCAGGCTCGTTGGGCGGGAGGAACCGTTTCGCCTTTGTGAAACACAGAAGCGGGGAGGCAGAGGGTCTTGCGGTTGAACGGTGGTGATGTCCGCACCAAAGAGTAAACGTTTTCTTTCTCCTTCTCTCCCCTAGGATTTCAACAGGCACTTGGATACTCTGACTGAGCATTACGACATTCCTAAAGTCAGCTGGACTAAGTGAACGGACTGCTTTTCAAGGCTTTGGATGAGGAGTTGTGTTTTGTTTGTATGGGACAGGGTTGCCATGTAAATCTGTGTATTCTCCATATTGAATGTTTAATATATCTTCTGAACGTTTATGACTCTGTACTTATTTCATTGTTTTGGGTTTTAAAACCAAGTATTCAACCGAGCATCTTCTTGGCTGATGAGCTCTGATTTACAGAGGTGCAGAGGGCTGGGGGTTTGTTAGTGGGATTAAAGCCAAAATCAACTGCTGGAAAATGTTCCTTTATTTGTTGGATACTAACAGTTCCCCTTTTTAGAAGCGAAGAGTCTGACAGTCTCATGTAGCCTAAGCTTCCCTTATAAGTTGTAGGAATTGTATCATTTCTTTCTATCTAGAGTTCTTTCAGAGGTGGGGGGTCTGCTGTAATTTGCAACTTTGATGTAGCTTCTTATTAAAATGCTGCTTTCATCCTTTTTTTGGTGCTGACTTACCTAAAAAATCAGGGGCAGTGCATGGGTGAAACAGTTGTTTGCGCGTGGAGTTTTTGAAGTGCCTCGCCTGCCTTTACAATTCTTACTCCCTTTGAGAGATGACGCGTATCTTGATGTTTAAGATCCTAACATGCCTCTTAAACCCGAAAATTGTTCTTAAACCCGAATATCGTCCACTCTGCTGTCGCTCGTTGGGCCCTGAGTGCTCAGCATCTGCCCGGGGGCTCCCCTGTGGGCTGCGGCCCCTCGTCCCGGCGCCGTTGGCGCCCAGACCCGCTCCCGGTGCTGTTTGGGCGCTGTGGGACCGATTCCCAGCGGGGAAAAAGACCCCGCGGCAGCTCACACCGGGGCTATTTAACACTCGATGAGCACAGATGCTCTTCCGCTGCCGCGGCGGAGCCCTGCGCGCATCCCTCCCCGCAGCAGCACGGCCTCGTTCCCGC